TAATAAAAAAAACCCCAACCTATAGCGCTTGAACAATTTGCTATTTAAAAATTCGCTTCATCTTCCCAAATTGCGAGGTTTTGGACGTGACCGCACGCTTCCCTGAAGTACAGACAGTCCCTCACTCCAAAAGATCCCAAATCCTCCTAGAAATTGGCAATGGCAAGGGGAGTACACGGGTACACTGTTTGGTAACTATTTCTAGAAGATTTTTTTTTTTCTGCGATGGGTCTCTTCATTTAATTATTGATATTTCCAAATAGATAGTGATTTAAACATGGAAAGAAATTGTTTTGGTAGATAGGATGCTCGCAGGTCACAACCGCGGGCTGATTGGTTTGAGGATTAATATTGATCCACTAATGGATTTTAAAATTTTCATGATTGAAATCGTGTTTGTTTGTTTGTTTTGTGATGGACATTTAAGAGGATATGTACGAGGAATAAAATCTAATTAAATTTTGTTTGGTTGTACACGGATTTTGTTGAGAATATGTGACTAAATTCATAAATTCGGTTGAAATCAGCATAACTTTAGGGAACTATATTTAATGCATTTACCCTATGTAGCAACATCAAATCTATGTATGGAAAATAACAGACAAACAATGTATTTACCAAAAATCCATGATTTTTAAGTGGCGGGTCTTATTTTTTCAATCCAGTGATGCCAAATGCATTGAAACAAAACAACCCATATTCATAATCTTGTTTGTTTGCATGCGTGTTGAGGAGGATTTGACGAATGAAAAATCCAAGCAAAAAGTTCTTGCTTAATTGAACATGAATTTATAGAGGATAATATGGTATAATACCACTCATTTCTCTTTTCTAGACAAGCCTCAGTAAAAATCAGAGTGAAATCAACATATTTTTAGGGAATTAGAATTGATGCGTTAATCTTACATGGTAGCTCCAATTTTATGATAGACAAATGTTAACCAAATAACGTATCCAGTTTAAAAAAAATTCAATGCAAAAATGCAAGGAAACAAACAGCCCCTAGTGGTGCACAAAAATCTCCATATTTGAGGGAATATATGTATTTATATTTGTTAAAATGTGGATATGATTATTAAAATATATATCTGATGTGATATGGTTACAGATGCAGCTATGCAGTGAAATATCTAGATCCATATCCGAATATGTTAGTCATGCAGTTGTAACGGTTTTAATCCTTAGATTAATTGGTTTGAGGTTAATTTTGATGATCAAGAGATCTAATATTTGCTTTTTCAAAGACAACTAACACATTAATGAATTCTCTTGTGTCATATTAGCTTTTTTTTAAAACATTATTTAGTTTTTTCATGTATGTTATGTACCCGAGTACATATCTATTTACATGTCCGTATACGTATTCGATTTGTAGCGGATAGAGATATGTATACTAGTATCCATATATGTGATTGACAAACAAATATCTTATTTGAATCGTATGCCCTTACATCAATAAGGCTTGCTTAACATCCAATTCAGATTGGATTCTCAACCCATTAAACTAGGGGTTCCCCTAGGGCTGTCTATTTAACCCGCTGGCCCGGGCCCGGCCCGGAGCCCGGATCCGGGTTGCCTCAGCGGCGCCCGGTCCGGGCCCGGCCCGGCCCGGAACAGTACGGCGCCCGGCCACAACGGCCAGATTTGACCTTTTGACCGTTTTGCCCCTAAAAACGGTCAAAAAACGGCTATTTTGTGAGGTTATTTTGGTCATTTGCCTAGGGGGCTGGTTCTATAAATAGAGGGGGGTTTTCATTTGTTTTCTTCACACCAAAAACTCATCTCTTCTCTCTTATACTCTTATACTCCCTCTTATACTCTTATACTCTCTTATTTATACTTTCTAATCCTTTCTAATCCTTTCATCAAATGGCTTCCGGATCTAATTATGAAGAGCAAAACATATCTCCTGATCCTGAAATGAGTCCTCCTACTATGAGTCCTCCTACTATAAGTCCTCCTACCGAAGTTAATCCCGAATCCGGTGACGACGAATCTGCACCAAGAGCTCCTAAACGGCCAAGATCCGATGTGTGGAATTTTTACGAGAAGATCGACGTCACCAAGGATGAACACGGTAGGATCCTCACCCAGAAGGCTAAGTGTGCTTTGTGCGGCAAGATTTTTCAAGCTCATCATAAGAGCGGCACCAACCACCTCAAACGCCATTTAGATAAACACAACAAAGACCAGACTCCTCAAGGTGATATCCGACAATCCATGATTTCTCAATCCTCCTCTTCTGGTAGTCTCGGTAGTTGGAACTATGACGCTGCCAGAGCCAGGAAATGCGTAATCAGGTTTATCATTCTTAAAAACCTTCCTTTTAAATTAGTAGAAGACGATGAATTTGAAGATATGTTTAGAGATGGTTTTTATCCTGCATTTAAAAAATTTTCTCGTCAAACCTGTCAACGTGATATTTTAAAATATTATCAGCAAGAACAAGAAAAAATAATTTCTTTATTTTAAAAATTTAAACTGTAATTTTTTTTAACTTCTGATATTTGGACATCTAGAGCACAAACTTGATATTTATGTATCACAGTACACTGGATTAATGAAAATTGGCAAATGTTTAAAAGAGTTGTTTCTTTTATTGCAATAGAAGAGTCACATACTGGTGCTAATGTTGCAAATTTAATAATTGAAGAACTTATGAAATTAGAAATTTCAGAAAGAATATTTTCTCTTTCACTAGATAATGCAAGTAATAACAATGTAGCTGTTGATTTTATCAGATCATCTTTATCATTGCCATGTCATGGTGATCTTTTTCATATTAGGTGCATCTGTCATATTTTAAATTTAATTGTTCAAAGTGCATTTACTGAAATTAAACCCATGATAGAAAAGGTTAGAACAGTTGCTTACATGCATAGTGCTTCTGAACAAAGACTTAAAAGATGGAAACAATTTTGTAAAAGAAAAAATGTAAAGCCTAGACTAATTCCAAAAGATGTTGACCATAGGTGGAATTCCACATATGCAATGTTAAGTGTAGCAATAGAATATAAAGACATTATAACTGATTTTATAAACTATTATGCTTCTAGTTCTAGTTCTGGTAGCACTTATGGAATAACTGAAGATGAATGGACAGTTATATGTAATTTAAATGAAATGTTACAAGTTTTTTATGATGCTACCATGTTATTATCTGGCTGTTATTATCCAACCATTACTTTAGCTGCTTTACAAATTTTAAATATTCAAAATTTTTTTGATAAATATCGTTTGGATGCTACTTTTGGACCTATGGTTTTTGAAATGGAGAGCAAATTTAATAAGTATTTTAGGCCTATTCCTCATATTTTTGGTTTGGGGGTTCTTATTGATCCATGCTTGAAGGATATTGGCCTTCGAAGTTTGTTACAGTCATTGTATGGTGGACAGGTTATAGACTTAGATGATGGAACCACCCTGAATGCTACTACTCATCATTTACTTATTAGAAATTATTTTCAAACTTTATATGATGAGTATGCAGCTAGACATGGTGTAGCTGCACAACAGTCTGCAGCTTCGGTTTCTTCGAGCTCATCCCGAGCCCGAGGTAAAAGTGTAAGTTTTGATAGGTATGCAATGGTAGCCGAGCTAACTGGTGGATCTGGACTTGGATCGTCATCATCGGAGGTTTCTGAAATAGATGAATATTTTTCTGCTTCTTTAGTTAGATGTCAAGGAAATGCTTTAGATATTTTGCAATGGTGGAAAGTATATGGATCAGTTTCATATCCTATACTTTCCACCATGGTTCGTGACTTACTAACAGTGCAGGTTTCGACGGTAGCTTCGGAATCCGCCTTCAGCACAGCAGGTCGTTTGATCGACGATCACAGGACATGCTTGGATCCATATACTGTACAAGCGGTGATGTGCCTACAAGATTGGTGGAGGTACGAGAAGCGAACGCAAGGCATCGATCGGATGGCTGGAATTGAAGATAAATTTGAAGAATTGGGACTAGCAGATAGATATAAAGAATAGATTGTAGTTTTTATATCTTAGCTTAAAATTTATAAAGAATTATTTTAGAAATAATTGCAAATGATAGTGATATAGGTGAGTAGGTGCTAACCTAGTTGAGATTTACTTATCTATTGTGATGCGATTAATTCTAAAATAAATTTGTACCTGTAATTTATAACTGATTTATCAATTATTAATAAAGAATTTGTTTTTATCATTTTTTATTTGTAATTTATGTTATTTTAAGTAATTAATAAAATTATTGTTTTTATTATTTTTCTTATCTTTTTTTATAATTTAAAATTTAAATAAAATTGAAAAAATTTGGGAAAAAATAAAAAAAAAAGAAAACCAACCGGGCCCACCCGGAACCCGGCCCGCCGGACCCGGCCCGGTGTACCCGGGTCCGGGTCCGGGTCCGGGTCCGGGTCCGGGTCCCGGTTTTGCCCGGCCCGGTCCGGATGGATAGGCCTAGGTTCCCCCTCTACATTCTGCACTCCTAATACCTTTTTATCTCACAATCTTCCTCTTAAAACATTGAGATCTCTCATAAAACTATTTGAAGTTCGAACTTTTTCTTGACCGACTCCAATGTAATTGACAAATAATAAAAATGACCTCGTAAGAAATTCTTTTACTTCTTTGTCATTTGCAAGAGAGATAAACTTCCCCATTAATGGAGGTTTTTTTCTCTATAAAGAGTCTTCAATTATTTGCTAATTACAAATAAGGAGGTCCACTTGAGACACCCCCAAAGTTCAGGGATAATGTGAGATGAACATATTCACGGGGTTATGTGGAACAAAACCCCAAAGGGTTAGTTTTTTTTTTGGTTAAATTAACCCTGAATCTGTCTGGTTTAACTTCCAAGTAAAATTAAAAAAAAATTCTATCACTCTCTTTGTTGTTCTGTACAAATTTAATCAGAACAGTGTTCATAAGAACGGGTATTCGTGTAAAAAAAAGAAGAACATGCGTACTTGTATTCTCGAACAAATGTTTTTAATTAAGAGTGCTACTACAGGGACCCCAAAATAGGAACCTTGCATGGGGACATGTGAGATGTCGTCTTCCTATCACCAAATGAATAAATAAAAAGCCATCGGTAACATTTTTCTCCATCATTTTCCACATTAATTAGACATGCAAATAATCCTCTCTCAACATTTTGGGTCCAACTTTTTTCCTTGTAGGGATCTCCTTTCCCTGTACAAGAAACCTAAGATCCCACCAAAGTAAAAAAATTTTCTCCTCCTTCCTAAACTCTCATAAAACCAAAGTAAAAAATCTATGTAACATCCAAGTAAAATCTCTCTAATTATTCTCTCTTTATAATAACAATATCATAGAGAGTAAGGGCCAGGAGAGTAAGTCCTAGGGAAGATGCCTTGCCCTGGGGAAAGAATATTAAGCGGGTCGAATCGGGCTTTACGGGCCTCGAAGCGGCCCCATCTTGGCCCAAAATGCGCCATCCATCGGGCCGGGGATGGATGATGGGGTAGATATTGCTTCGCCCCTACGTGGGGCCCGCTCGCTGAGAGGGCGATGTGGCGGTGCGTGCGGAGGATGTCACGGAGGCAACCCGGCGAGCAAGTACTCGGGTTAGCGGATCTAAGTATCGCAACCGTGTACATGACCCGATCCGCTTCGCCAGTGTCCGGCAGTACTGCTGATGTGTTTGCATTCCATCTGAATCGGAATGGGACAAAAATCATTACTAGATAACTCACAAATATAATAATATTTATATTTGCATTACAGTTACAGTGGATGAAGCAACCCCTAAACAATGCATATTCTCTGAAACTTAACAAAACAAGTGTTAGAAAAATCAAACGAAGCAACTCTTTCGTAAATATATATTCTGTTTTTTTTTTCATCATCAATTAATTATACTGCTTCTATTGGCAACTTAAACTTCATTTGCCACATAATTATATACTGTCAAGTCACCTTAAAATACCAAAAGTGATTATTTTTTTACTAAATCTCTAGCCTCTTCCGAGTAAACTAAAAATTCTTCTGCCCAATGATCACTAATAACTAACACCCGAAAACATAGTTTAGAAAATTATATTTAGCGCCGAATTAAGAGTTAAATCAGAAGCTTTTTAGGGTGACCTAAGCTCCTCATCATGTCAAGGGTACAAGAAGGATTTGAGACCTAATGTTTTTAAGCTAAACATAACTATAAATTATGTTTATCTTTTACTTTTAACTCAAAATAAATCATGATGAACGACAAAATGACAGAACATAAGTAATCTCTTCACTGTCTGGGCACAGTGAGGAGGCTACAAATCTGGTGACAAAAAGGTTGAGGACTATAAAAAGCTGCACCAGTGAAGTGAAAATAAAATAAATCTAGACCACAGTTTCTTCTGATATGGGAAGTAACCGGGATTCTGCACGATGTTAAAATCCTCTGTGATCACATGAACAAAATGAAAAAAGCTGACGTCTGCCAAAACTGCAAAAAGGTAGAATTTAGGAAGAGATAAATAAAATAAAAACTAATTAATGACATCATCAAGATCACAAAAAGCAGAGAACATTGTTAACAGAGAAAGAAACACGTAGCCTATCGCCTATTGAGGTGACCTCACTAGAGAGGGGAGAGCAAGGGAGAGGAGACAACTTTTGAAAAGAAGCTGTTCATGCTTGTAAAAATGAAGCCAGGCATGCCAGCCTAAGAGAGGCACTGCCTGTATACAGCATAGGAGCTAGAGATATCCTTTAAATAAATAAATAAATAAATAAGAGCCATAGGAGCTAGAGAAAGAGGGGCAATCTTTTATTTTATTAGGAGAAAAGAGAGGCAACCTTTCTTTCCTGATTATTCTCTTTCCTTTTCTCTTTATTATTGCATATACTTGCAGAGTTTAGCTTTTCATATTTATGAATGTCAAATCTCCCCATACAAATTCTAGTATTGATTGCAAATATTAAGGTAAATTTGACAACTCCCACCTAACAGGTTTTTGGCCTAAAACATTTTAGTCCTGGATTACGTCCGAGATCGTATAAAAAGATAGTAGTTTGCCCCCTAAGAGAAATACAAACTTCACTTATTTGAATCTGGATTACTTCGGTAACATATTAAATAAAAAAATATCATTTAACAAGAGCACTATTCCTATCAAAACCATGCATACGAGCGAGCGGTTCTGGCCTTCGATATGCAAAATAAGGGGGATAATTTGCCCCCCTCATAAATGGATCAGAACCACGATCAGAACCACTTATCGCATGCGGGCAATTCTGATAAAATATGTAGTCATCTAACCGCATAGTTTAAAATTTTAAATGATGATCGAAGATTATAGTTTTATATTCTAATAATGAATAATAAAAAAAGAGATGCAAAGAACCGATTTCTTACTTGTCTCTCAGCAGGGGGTAAACAAGGACAATGCCTTCAAAGTCCTTTGCTGAAATATTGTCCAGGAGCAAATCTCTGAACTTGGTGATTCCAGACTTGGGTACAAACAAATTCAGCCAAGGATGAGGGACATCCCATAGCCCTCTTTTCTTTAGACTCATCTCCTCCTTTGTCACTCTATTTATGAAATCAAAGTAGGAAACCTCAACACTGTAAACAAATGAAGGCATGTAGCTCATCTTCCTCAGAACCTCCTCCACAACCTGTAGTCAAAAAAATAAAAATAAAAATAAAAATGTTTTCAGCTCATTTTCTTCTCTTTCAATTTGAATGAAATTATGTTTGTATTGCTCACTTGATCCACATTGGTTTCTTTTGTTTGGTAATCATGCACTGCAAACTCAATGCAGTAGTAGACTTTGGAGCTGTCCTGTTTGAGCTGAGTGATGAACTCAAGCTGGGAAGAGAAAGCAACGGAGGAGCTGTGAAGAGACTGCTCATTCAAAACTATGAAGCCCTCGACGTAGTCTATTTTCTCTGGCATTGATATCAACAGCTCTTGATCTCTGGTGAACGTGTTGAAATCATCATAAAAAGCTCTTACCCATTTCACCTGGCAACGCAAAAATCATTAATATCAACATATATTAAATCCAACAAGAAAGAAAATTAGCTATAAACTACCTTTTTAGGAGCTTCCTGAAGCAAAATCCTCGCTTTTGTGATGATACCAAACTGACCCAAACCACCCAAAACTGCATGAAACAGGTCTGAACTTTTGGTGGGTGAGCATGTAACAAACTCTCCGTTGCCTGTAAATTGCAACCTCAACCAATGAAAAAAGAAACAAAAAAAGAAGAAATATTGCATTCTCACCCTTCCTTTTTGAATAATTTGTACCTGTGACGACATCAAGTTGAAGGACATTTCTAATTTGGGGTCCAAATTTGAAGGATTGCCCACTGATTCCAGCATTAGAGAGAGTTCCTCCAATGGTTAAATGGAGGTAATCAGTCCAAGACCTTGGAGCAAGCCCAAACCTCAAGCTCTCCTCCAAAAGCTCAGACCATAAAGCCCCACCACTAACATCAGCAAAGAACCCATTTTTATTAATCTCTATTGAAGATGGCAGAGAGTCCATTTCGATCACAATGCCATCAAGAGCTTGAGCTTGGCCATGGATTGAGTGGCCTGCTCCTCTGGCAGCAACATTGACTCTGCTAAAGGAGGAGGAGGAAGAAGAAGCATATAGAAAACTGAGGAGGAGGGAGATTTCTTCAGGGGATTTGGGTCTTAGTACTGCTGAAGGTTTGTTGAAGAGAATCCGACCAAAGTCCGTCGAAGCTTTTGTTGAGTTCTGAATCAAGTTCAGGGGCCCAAAATCCATTGGGCTTTGTATGAACTTGCATGGAGAACAGAGAGCTAGAAGGAGAACAGAGAGGTTGAATATAGCGCAGAATTTGTCAGAATCCATTTCGAGCGATCACAAACTCAAATGGGATTTCTTTTGTATATTGCGTAAGGTTAAGAACTACAGAGGAGTTGAAACTTGAAAGCGAGG